TGCATTTTTTAGTGATATAACTGTGAATAGTCAGAAACGTAGAACCAACTTGCCTAGAATGAACACATTTTTAGAACGTTAGCAAATGATGGAAAAATGAGAGCTTATTCCAAAATTCAATTTTAGTCGTTCTGAACTAAGAAAAAAGACTTGCGATAGTGAAAGATGCATGAACTTCCAAAAAGTTTATATTTGAGCGACCACTCTCTGTCTCCGAACAAACAACATTGTAAAGATGATCGTTTATTTTCACATACGATGAAAATGTTTAGAAGAATCAAGTGAAAGTGTAAATATTAAATCGAATTAGGAAGCACGTGAATACAATAACGTCTTTTCATGGAGCTACTGTTCACTGTCCTCCTACTAAGCTAGCCTAACTAAACCAAGTCCCATCCATGTGAGAAGTGTAGATGGGACTTGCCATCAACAATCTAACTGTCCTTCTTCTTCTCGTCCGTATTGGAACATGAAGCTATACCAAACACTCGAATCAGCGTAGCTGCTATACCTCTAAATGAAGGTTGGCGTTTATTCGACAACACACAATATTCTCTTAAACCAAAACAGACACACTTTCTGCTCGCAAATGCGACGTTCCGATGAGGAGAAACTCGGTACATGGACATACTTCCAGCATGAGAGACAGGTGATCTGGCGGTAATGAACTCAGTTTTATCTTCAAGATATTTCAGTGCTTGTATACAATAACCTCTGTTGTAGTGGACTGATTCAATGTTGTCGTATGCCGTCGCCAATGATGGATGATTCTCAGGAAGAACTGCTCTATCAATTTTCAAGCGGTTGTGCTAGTATTCAAGAGCCTTGTCATATTCCCTCTTGTCTTTGTATACTCCTCCAATATTGTTATACGTTGTTGCAAGAGATGGATGACCAGCGGAAAGAGTTTTCAGTTGTATTTGCAAAGCTTTATCCATGTTCATCAGTGCCTGATCAAAATTACCCTCTGCTTTGTTGTTATATGCTTTGTTGTTATATNCAGGAAGAACTGCTCTATCAATTTTCAAGCGGTTGTGCTAGTATTCAAGAGCCTTGTCATATTCCCTCTTGTCTTTGTATACTCCTCCAATATTGTTATACGTTGTTGCAAGAGATGGATGACCAGCGGAAAGAGTTTTCAGTTGTATTTGCAAAGCTTTATCCATGTTCATCAGTGCCTGATCAAAATTACCCTCTGCTTTGTTGTTATATGCTTTGTTGTTATATGTGATGGTTAGTGACGGTGAATCTGCAAGCAAACATTTCTTCTCGAGATTGAGACACTTGTTGTAATACACTAATGTCTGATCATTGTTGCCTTTTCCCCATTAACTCACTCCAAGTTGGTTATAAAAGCAATATCACTATCATTCATCGAACTATTCTGAAGCATCATTAAATAAAACTCTTCTACTTTCTCAAATTCACCCATATTCAGCAATAAATTCCCCAATGTGAAGAAATCGTTTTCACATTGGGTTTCCTTCTCCACGTGACCTGTGAGTCATCTCTGTTTCACATCTTCGTCGCCATTCAGAGTCAGCTTCACATTCCACATGCCGACACTGAGCTTGTCGACCGATGCAATTCAAAACACTCCACCCATCGAGAACAGAATCTCTTTTTCTATTTCTTAGAAACTCATCTTCTCGATGTTATGAAATGGTCGTGGACAACGGGTGTCAACTCTCATCTCTAATAAAACTGATTCCACACGTGTACGATGTGTCGTCTGTCAACCAAATGAGACAACATCTCTCTTCGTTGATGTTGACACAAAATTGCTCATTGACAAGAAATCACCCACATTTGCTCGCACTTTGTCGTTGACAAGCTCAAAAACGCCCAAAATCTTGCTAAAAACCGAAAAATCTTCCATACAAAAGTAAAGAAACCGAAGTTGAGATTGTTGTTGACGGAGTTGGATTCGAGTTGGAGTTGAAAGCCAGCGGAGTTGCTCAGCCATGGATAAATCCACCAGTTTGTTGTCGATTCCTGTGCTATTTATATAAGTCATAATACTATACATAGGTGTTGATTAAAATATAAAAGAATATGTAAACCATTGAAGAAGGTTCTTGGCTAAAATGACAAGAGACAGGAATCTTGCAAGAACATCGACAATAATGTCGATCGGTGGTGTATTCTTTAGCTAGTAACGTTTGAACAGTGGAAAATCTATTTATTGCCGACTTTTCGGTTTCTAAGTTTTCGTTTTCATTGTAGTACGATGCTAGAGCGTCCATATATATTTGTTTATTCGCCTGTTGCTTGTTATTCGTGTATTTTTTAATAGGTGAGTACTAACATAATATGATACTAATTGACAAATACTCCTGTGTCAAATAAATACTAATAGAATAATATAACCTTTTGTTAAAATTACTATTTTTCTTACAGGAGCGAGTATGTGAGAGTCTTTCAGAGCACAGTATCTGAAATATCAACACATGTTCCAGCTTTTCAAATTGTATCTGTGTGAAGCTTACGTTGAAACCATATCCTTTTTTCTCTTTTGAAACAACCGCCAAGTTCCATTTAAAAAATACAAAAATTCCTTGTGTTGTTTCAAAACAAAACGAAAATACCAATCCAACGCAAAGATTTGTTTCTTATAGCACATTTCGTATTTCAAGACAAATCTTCCTTTTTACATTTCTTTTGAAAATCCTTATCTTAGCGAAAGTGCTTGGCACTGTATTCATCAAATCGTGCGGCGATTGCTATTAAATTTTGTCAAGACTGCGTTCAACTAGTGATACCATCTTAACACGACCATGTCACCATTTTCTCATGCCCACATTTTTATGTTTTAATTACAACAACAAAAATACACGATTACCTACAATCGCGGTAAACAAATTCTACATTTTTTATCAAAACCGTAGTGGAATTAGCTTTTATTCTAGATGTTAAACGCTACTAAGGTTTAGGTTTTTAGAAAACACACATTACACCGACCCACAGACTTTGCTTTCAGATAAGAAGTGATTCCAGTATCATACTACTTGTCCCATATATCATTCAATATACCAAGCTATCTGACAGCACATAACATGATCATAATGCACATACTTAATACAAGCACCATTGAGAAACGAACTGTTTGATGATACCAGAGATGCAGAAGCTACCCGTTTGCTCAGACTGTCGTCAGCATACAATACTTTTATTCGTGGAAATTTTATTAAAATATCATTCTATTGCTAAAGAAACTCACAATATTGTTCCAAAACGCCTTGGTTTCAAGTTATAGTTCAATAGTTATTCCTATTCTTGCCTGCGGAGTGAAAAATTAGTTCTTTTCATGAGTTCTGCGGTGAAGCACTAAGGTACTTTATTTTTTAGGTGAATTAGTGGTGGTATCAACCGAAACACAATATGCTTTCGAACAATTCGGCGGCACCATAGGCAGTTTACAACAGCTCTTATATGCTGTAATGCAGCAGGTGAAGTAATGCCACCATTCATAATATACTCAGCGAAAAACTTGGGCCCAACATAGCGTAATGGGACCCTTTAGGAACAACATATAATGTTTCTGTGTCCGGATGGATAAATGAAACCTTATTCACCACATGGTTTGAAACCAGTTTTATTTCATATACGGCAGCAGTCGAACGTCCAATACTTCTTGTTATGGATGACCATGCTACTCATATCAATATCAAAACAATCGAATTAGCAAAACAACATCATATAATACTCTTGTTGTTACCACCACACACGACGCACGCGCTGCAGCCACTTGACGTGGCCACATTTAAGTAAGTAATACCTTATTAATCAAAGAAATCCCCTCTTTTGTTCTTTAACTTCAAATCAATTCCTGTACAAGTTTAGTGATAGTTTCTCGCTTATTGTTTCATTACCATGACCATGTATTTTGTTGCATATTCCACCGCTTAAATCCTTAAAGTTATTTCTGGAATATCTGAAATACTATTCGGGAAATAAATACAACTTTGGCTAGCTAATATGTGATTTGAATTTCTAGTCCAGCTAAACAAGTATGAAAACGAATTGTGACAAAATATCTAGCAAAAACCAAGAGAAAGACGATTCGAAAAATCGATTTTCCAGCATTAATAAAACAATTATTCGATGACTCATTAACAAAACGGCAAGTTTCGGCTGGTTTTGCCAGGTCCGCAATATGGCCGCTAGACAAAGAAGCCATGAAAGAAAAAGTAGCGAAAAAGATCTAAACAATTTAACAAAAAAAGTTCCTACATCTGGGTGCTAAACTTAGCGAACTAAAAGAGCGTTATCAAAAATGCAACTATAGCTGTTAAAAACTAACAAACTCTGAACATATCTTTTCCAAAAACATCGAAAAACACTCACCTTTATTCAGGAAATTTTAATTTAGGGCATTACATACAACCACATCGTCGCCGAGATCAGTATCAACAGCACAACCTTTGATCACATCCTCATCTGTTCTTTCTTTGCCTTCATTCCAAGTCCATTCAGGTACGAAAAATGAGAGACTATAAATGCTTAGCGTAATTGTGTTGTACATCACCATAACATCTGTTTAAGATATTGTCTAGCAATAGTTCTTTCAGTTGATTTCATGACTCTGGAGTACAGTCAAGCTTACCATTTGCTTATGGCATATAACTAAGCATATGTTTTGTTGTGGCGTGTACTAGATTTTACGTTGCATCGGAAGTAACTAAGCCAATTCAAAAATTTTCTAACTTCGATTACCTTTGCTTTCAACGTAAGATCTTTCATACACTGTCACATCCTTTGAAAAAAAATGTCATTTTTTCAGCCCATCAATAGGCCCAAAAACAACCACAACAAATTTCTCATCATTAAATTTAAATTATCCTTTGAACGATGACTTGTCGAGGTAAATAACAAAAATATCACGAGATTCTGTCTGTTTGACATAAAAACTCTCATTATAGATATCCGTCAGCTGATAGCACTTTGATTGCAGGACCACAATCACCCAGCGATCTGTTTGCTTTGTTTAAGTAAATTTTTTACTTCCATACGATCATCATCAGTAATTTGACTTTTTTAATCCAATTGATTGTCGCTTCAGTAAATGATCTATCTTGTTCATATAAACTTTGAAAAGCTTTTAGTAAATTAAATGGAGCTCCATATTGAGTATATCGTTTAAACGTTGTTTGAACATTTGCACGTTCTAAACCAATACCTAAAGGAACGATATCAATACCTAAATTTTCAGCGCGTTGTTGTACCATATATAATAATGGATCAGAATTAGTATGACCATTAGTTATGATAAAAATTTTTCTTTCACCTCTTGTGTATATTAATTAATAACTCAATCGCCACTTCAACAGCATTAGCTTGCTTACTATTTGTTTCTATATCAAACAAACAGCAGCAACTTTCTAGCACAAATATGCAAGCTAATTAAGCTAAATTTATTTCCACCAGTTAAACACTTACTCAAAAGCTTTCAAGAATCATTTCTAGTACAAGTGCGCTCTTTTCAACGGTATGCAAGGGAGCACTTCAGTTTTCAAAATGTTGATAAAGAAAATTTTTGAAAAAAGCCAGAAATTTGTTATATTTAATGTTGGCGGTTGAAGATGGTGAATAGAAAACAACATTTGTTCGAAACGAAGGTCCACATTTATAGTATGAATCATCGGCTTTCAAATAAAAAATATTCTGTCAAAAGCGTAACTTTTGGCTGAGTTACATGAGTTTTCCAAGAACAGAGAAAACAACCTTTTAAAAACGTGTTTTTTTCGAAAACATGAAAAATAACTGTTTATTTTGTGCATTAGGATTCTGTTTTTAAAATTTTTGAATACCATAGTTTTTTTAATACATAATTTTTAAAGAAATGTGTCATTTTTTTTTTGACTTTGTTTACTAAAGTATTTATAAACAAGTAATGTTCATCATTCTGATTCACTTATCCCTTGACTGGAAAGGAATCGTCAATATCAGATCTTTTCTGTAGATTAAATTAATTATCTTTCTTGTTCACATTACTTTCTGAAGAATATTATCAGCAAGCAGCAGCAAGCAAGTCTCACAACAGCTCTGACGACCATTTCATATTCTAAATCTCTTTAAATACATTTTTACACTAAAATAATATTAGAATGCATAGTTATTATTAATCCGTTTGAATGTATTTTTACCCGAAGTACCCTGTGTGTGTGTGTTGCTAACCGGAGTTTTCGGAGCACTAAATCTTAATTTGGTAGAGGCGTGTGTGTGCAGCAGTGTATCGAAAATCTGATGATACTGGATGCTTTAATTTGTTGGTGCATTCGGTTATAGTAAGACTGACCGGAGTAAAATCCCGGTTGCCCTTAGTTATGCTACTAAATCGACTTACAGTCAACGGACGAAGTGAACCCACGTGATTCACGTTATTTATTATTAAATACATTTCAACCACTTTTAGCATCAAAAACCTCTGAACTGCTTTATTTTAAACATGCATTTGAAGAGATTTCGAATATGAAAGGCATTTAAATGTATTTTGTACTGGAAAATTTAAATAAACATCTTAATTTTAAAATATATTCAAATGTGCTTTGAAAATAAAATCGCTCTAAATGCAACTAAAATGCGAAATGTGTTTAAATACATTTTTTAAAAATTTGCTTGTATATCTTCACAACGTCAAAGAAGCCTGAACTCGGTTTTAAACAAATACATTTGAATAAATTTTTCCAAATAAATGTGTTTACACATATTTAATCCTTAAAAGCCGAATGTCCCTTCCAAGCGACATTTGGATAACTGCAATAAAAACCTTAATAAGACTTTATATAAAGAAACCAATATTTTTCTGCACTAAGAGGATCTTGGAGGCCATACTGAGATCAAAATATATTTTTCAAGTGACTGTTAGCTGTAATAATAGATCTTTTACGACTGATGATTTTTTTAATGTCATTTTTTTATCTTAAATATTTGTTTAATCATAAATGCGACGTGCAGCCTTGTTTATTTTACGGAATATTGTTAAACATAGCATCAAGGTATCTGATGAAACCATTCCGTAAGTTTTTAACCGGTTTACTGGCAAATTATGCGATCACAAAGAAAATGTTCCTGAGCTGGGATATTCCGCCTCACGTGAAAAAATCGAAACAAAGACCTCACAATCTTTATTTTTGTGACTAGCTTCCTCTTGTTGTAAGAAAAAGGCCCTTCGGCTATTAAGGGTTAAAGTATAAAATTGTCTTAAATGCATTTTTTTATAAATCTACTTAAATGAATGTTTTTAAAAATATGTTTAAATTTCTACAACATTTTAAAGACATGTGAAAACCATATTAAAAATCCTTTTTGTTTCTTCCGGAAACCTGTTGTCCACTGCCTTTAGACTCGCTCTCAAAGTAAATTCTCACCCTATGAACGTAGAAAAGAAAAAGTAACAATGAACTTAGAAAAGAAAAGTTGCACTATTATGAGGTGAAGAAACAGAGCGCGCGACACTTCCAATATCCGTACAAATTCAGCTTTTTCTTACTAATGACATTTATATCATTGAATTAGAGACAAAAAAGTGGTCAAAATAAGACAGAATACTGTTGGAACATGAATTCAGCTTCCAGAGAAATCTCAGTTAGTAGAACAGAATGATTACTGTCTAACGGATTCGGGTAACTAATACTGATATGTGGAGAAGATGCTATTATAAAAACTTGAAGCATAATGACGAAGTGAAAGGTGAAATATATGCAAATGATAGTAGTATTGTGTTTCTCTGACCCAGTGAAGAGATGGAAAAGTAAGAGAGAAAAGCAGTTATTTGAAAAAGTTTGTGAGAAAAATCTATTGAAACCAAACTTTTAAAATAATTTTTTAACAAATTTTATTTTTTGTAAAGAAATGCTTTATAATACATTTCTTTTTATAAAATCTATGTAAATGTATTTGCAGTTCAAAGTGCAAATACATTGTTTGTAAAAGAGATGAATGTAATGATTAGAGACGTAGCAAATAAGCAATGTTAACGTTAAATTTTGGTCTCTGAAGAAATTTAAATGTATTCACAGTTTGAAATAGAACTACAGATATTGGACCAAAAAAGCTATTTGATTCCATTTTGCGTGAAAAGTCTGTTTAAGGGCCCCCCCCTCAGAAATTATCTCCGACACCGTGCATCCGATCTTGACGAAACTTTCCATAAACGTTCGGCACAATGAGTTACAGGAATGAAAAAATTTTTTTGTCTCCAAGTCTTACGGTTTAGGGGTTTTCCAGAGATCAAGGTCCAAAAAGGACCCTGAACGGCGTCCCAAGATTTTTTAATATCGCGTTAATATTTAATATACTTCAAGCTGGAGAGTTCGGGTTTGTTTTATTTTAAACTAGACACATAACTACATCGACTGACCGGCGTCGATTTTTTAATTAAGCCTTTATTGATTTTCCAGGCAACCAACAACCTCCAAAACCCGAAAAAGCCTTCCGGATTTTCTAAAAATCCTCCGTTCGACAAAAAACTAAGACCTAATTCAGAAATCGACGCCGGCCAGTCGATGTAGTTTCTTTTCTTCTTTTAAACAAAAAAAGAATGAACTCTCTACGACAAACCCCTATTAAAAATCTTGGG